AACGAACCTCCGAACAGGCAGATTCCAGGAGGAAACAAAACTTTAATGTGGGCAAGATGGAAAGCTTTCACTTGGAGTGAATTGAAGGAGGCATATGAAGATATGGACCTTCAAAGCTGTGAGGTACAAGCACCCTAGGGCTGGAGCCGCAAACCACCGTTGGCTACAGACTTTCACGAAATCCGAACGTAAGCCGGGTGTACAGCAAACGATCTTACATGACGGCGAAGTTATGTGGTCATATAAAGTATCATCACCAAAAACATATCGAGTCGCTCCAGAAGGATTTGAAAGAGAATTTATCGTCGAACAGTATTTCGGGGATGAATTAGCATCATAGCCAATAGGGTTAGATGATGTGTGGAAATAAGTGTTCTAGTGTTTAAACCGTTTAGCGGGTAGCTGCCGTGCAACGTGAAATAAAGTAAGTACGTCGACGTGCAAGGTTGCTGCCACCTTCTTCTTAACTGGGTTTACCCCACCCCAAGACCACCTCATCAGCCAAATACAACACAAACGCTGTTCCCACTTGTTCCCAGAAGCGACCACATATATGTAAAATATAAATATCTCATCACTCCCTGAATACCAGGAGTCACGGATAGCACCTAATGGTCATCTTTCCATGCACATTCCGTTGCTTGCAAACGACGGCAGCGACTCATTGCATGGCAAACCGTAAACTTATCTATCCGTTTAGTTCACATAGTAGCTCCAGTCAACCTAAAGCCCCCTTCATTTCTTGGAAGTTCTGTCGATCAATCATTTTCTGTCCTCTGGCCCTCTTCACATTAACCTTGCCGGCACAACGGAAGCTCTCTTAATGGATTCATCAACTGAGGTGAAAGCCACTATCGCCTCCGGTCTAACTCACTACGTTATCGCTCTTTCCGACTAGTCCAACGGCCAGCCTCTGACCACTACACCAGCAGCTAGGTTGTCGTCCTCCAAATTATGCAGCTGCTCTCCTTGGCCTTGCGCTTTCTGATTAACCGACGCTTAGTTCAAGATACGAGGCACAACTCTTATCAACAGTGGTAGTCTCCGAATCTCAATATACTGCAAACCGGTAGCGATTTGTCTTGCCCTTACGCTATTACGGCAACCTCAGCTAGTCCCAGATTGCTAGCTCAGCCAGCCAAAATCCACTCTATAGTAGGTTCATATGGCTTGCTGTCACTCCCTTGTGGATTTTTCCATTTGACACCGTTTCGTCTGATACCTCCAGGCACTCACCGGACGCTAATAATCTCATTCTATTCCCCGCTTTGCCTAAGAGTCAAATTACGGCATTAGTTGCTCCGAAAGCACCCAATTGACCATCATTCATTCACTTTGGCTGGTCTCAGGCTCACAACCAAATGGTTCTCCAACTCAGTCACCATTGCTTCGTGGCTTCACGTCAGTCTGCTTCTACCTGTGCCATATCCTCGTCTGAAGTAGATCCAGTTGTCACGGGAATGTGCGTCCCCTGTCTGATTACCGCAGGCTTGACGTCCATTGCGGGCTGTCCAGAAAGCGAAGTATGTCAGCGCAATGCTGGCACCGCACTGCTATACCAAGTGTGACTGTTCTCTCGCCACTATTACCTTTCTTCTTTCGATTGTAACCTCTCGCCCACTAGGGCATGTAATTGTGATTACGAACAAAGTGGTCTCGCAGCTCCCAACACCCCCGAATGAGTTTGCCTTAACCATTGAACCATTCGTTTGGATTAAACATCTCGGTCTTCCGCTGCAATTTTGGTCGGCCCTTTCTGCAACTTCAGCTATTTTATTTACGGTGACCGTCTGGCCATACATATTAACGTTATCTGCCCATCGAAAATATCCTTTACACCTGACCTTTCCCTCAGCCGTGACACAATTGGGTCTACTTAGATTTAATGTAAACCATATTTTTGAGGTGAATTCTCTTTATCTCCATTTTTGCTTTTCGTGACCCTGACGATTTATTCAACCGCCCAAGGCCACTGATGGCCAGCAAAGGTTTTCAGGTTTTAGTTCTGGTCAGCCAGCCTCATCGTTGAACCATTAGTAACTCATGCCCCATCGTTCCAGGTTTTTTGGTTCCGCAACTGCGACAACCTATCGCGTAATAATCGTTTCCCCTGGTTTCACTTTTCTCCACTTTGTGCTGTCCGCAGCGCTCAGACTGCAACGGTCCGATCGTGCCCCGATGGACATGCTCCCTAGATGTTGGATAATAAACGTATCATTACTATTGACCTAATACGAAACTTTTCCATTCCAAATACAGAATGGTAACATTTACTCCGGGGTCGGCTGCATTTTAGAGCCAGGGAAATCCCCATAACTGATTAATGATATGGGTGGTTCAAGATCTTGAGGTAAGGTAAAGCGGTGTTCAATGCAACCCCTGCCTAAGTCTCAATACACACCTCTGAATTTGCGGCTTTCCTGATGTAGGCAGGCACAACAGTAGCATGGAAGCTAGTAACCATGTTCCTGCTGGCATGCAAGCCATGCTTTTAACTTCGTTGTAGTCACTGTGCTTATTGTTTTGCGAAGCTTTAATGATAGTTTGGCTTAATTCGGTCGGGCACAAGTCAAACTCAAGGCCATGGTGTTGTGCCGCCGTACTTAGTAGAACTTCACCACTCCCTAAATCAGACATTTTAATTGAAAGAATCAATTATTAACTCGGAGCCTATGAGGGCCCAGGCTAGCAGATCACAACTCAAGTTGAGCGGATACAATCTAATAGGTGGTTACGAAGCGGGGGTGCGTTAAATAACGTCAAAAATGTTCATTCAAGTGATCTAGACACTGCCTGTTGTCGTACGGTAAATTTTTAGTACCATTTCTGATTATCTCCGCAAAAGTCGTGTTTTTATATCAGGCAAAAGAGAACATAGCACTTCCGGCTGTATTGGTTTTCCCCGACTCCAGAGCCTTCTGATTTCAATAAGATTCTGTATCCACAAACAGAACGTGAACAGGTTGTCCAATGTAATTTTTTATTTAACTGTATCAAGTGCCTAAGGGGACACAAGATTGTGTTTGGTGCTTCTAGAGCATCGGTTATACTGGAGCACGCTCCCAAGTCTTTGCGTTTAAAAGGGCCTATTCAAGCTACATTAACGAGTTCCAAGAGACGTCTAATGTCTATGGTCTCTAAACCAGCGGTTCATTTCCTCCGTTATCCAATTGGCCTTTAAACTTCCAGATGTTCTTTCAGCCCACACTAGACCGCTCACCGAACATGCCAGCCAAGATATCTACTTAGGATGCAAAACGAGTGTAACCCTCATCGAGCTAAACCTTTTTCCGCTTATGCCTTTGGGGTGAACGTCAGTTGCTGAATGATAAGGACAAACCACACCCGGGGAACCTGTGCGAACAAGGCTCCGTTCTGACACAATTGCTGTTTCTGATCTACGTCAACGACCTCCCAGATATTCTTGCAAGTCCATGTCTACTTTTTGCGGACAACTTGAAATCCTGGAGTTCCAATGTCAGTGCTCTCCAAATGGATGTAGACGCTGCCAAGCAGTGGTCGTTGGACTGGCACCCTCCTCTGAATGACGAAAAGTGCGTCCATATGTCGTTTGGAGGAGACTCAGTGAATGCTTTTGTTATGCATGGTGGGAAAGAACCGGAAAACATCATGAGAATAGACGCCAAAAAGGATTTAGGCATCTGAGTGTCCTCAAACCTGTCCTTCTCACTGCATCATGGGAGATCGGCCCAAAAGGCATTCGCCATTTTACGGATAATCCGACGAGCCTTCTCCCGCATTTGCAGGGACCCAGTCACCCACATACTTGACTGTTAAACTCAATCGCTCACTGGATCACGAGGCTTGTCTTTTTTCTCATACGCACAAACACGTCGCATTAAGCTGACACATCGGACATCGATTGTCTGCACCGCCTAGTCAGCGTAGCAACCACTCATGTGCCGACGTGCCCACATACACGCACTGGGACCTACATAAAGGCAAACCGAAAACAGTCAAGACAGTCGCGCGCGCGCGCAGGGAGCAGGACGTCAACCTCTCCACAAGTCCACGGACGATCATGGAACACGTGTAGCAGCCAAACTGCGGAGAAAACACGTTACCGCCGTCCGGACTTTCACCAAGGGTACGATAAGTTCCTTTTTGACTTGCTCCCAGTTCGCATTGTATTCATTTTTATACGTGTCGCAACCATGTTAAAAACTTCTATTAGTGCAAATTCACCCTCTGTTTTGTAGTATGGCTACCACCACCTGTGCACACATTACTCGCATGGACTTCCAAGTACTCAATGGGGCCTGCGCCAGACCGCTCCTGGAGTGCGCCGACCAAGTTGTCCACACCGGACGCAGAAAGGACACCCTAAATGAGCGTGTTCAGCGAGCCGCTGGGCTACGAAACGCCTCTCGAAATGCCTGATCTCTTTCCCCTGGAGTATCGTTGTCTCCGAGGGAACCTAGTTCTTCCTTACGCCTGCTTGAACAAAGCTTGGCTAACAGGTTTTTCACCACTGACCCAACAAACACGCGGCGGGGACATGGTAAGAAAATTTTCAAGCTCAGAACGCACACAATCATTAGACAAAACTTTTTCTCATTTCGGGTAGTAGCTGCTTATAATGACCTTCCTCCAACGGTTGTCCACGCTCCTTCTAGAACCCAGTTTAAAGCACTATTGGACATTTATTTATGCGAAACCTCGCGCTGGCAAGCATACTGCCCCACTCTGAGAACATAAAGAGCAGTGCTACACCCTTTTGCACTTCTGCCCTTCAGGTGAACGACAGCCACCGACCGAAAATCTCAACACCGACACGGAAAACTTGGACAAAAGCCTCGATCCTGTGTATCAATCCGTGAATCCGTGAACCGTGAAAACCTCTATGCTTGTGACAAGCCCTGAATTCGTGATTGGACGTTCAGTCAGCCAATGAGAGAAGTTCACTAGCTGTGGTGTCAGGCTCGTCGTACCAACGAAACCGGAGCCATCCCACGGTGGCCGAAATGTTTCGGAAATCCCTTCTCATTAACGTGACGCCCCTTGTAGTTTCGTACCCACTTGTTGGTAACAAGGCTTGTGAGTTAATGTTGGTGTCTTTTTCGCCGCTAAGGTTTTGGGGCTGGGGTTTGCAGCCACGGCAATCTGAACTGGTGACATTCGGATCTGCCCAAAATGATGATAGTTGCTGAAACCTTGAAGGAAATGCTGTCTGAAAAATATATCTAGTCCAAAACGATACAAATACGGCTGATAGAAAGTATGACACTTTTCTCCAGAATCCAGTAACCGGATTCCGTCGACTGCGTCGTCGGTAGCAAGGGCCTCATAGTGAAACTGATGTGGATCTGATCATCGATACGTGGTCCAGACGTCGCCAAGGGATTTCATTCGCTAAGCTAAAGCCTAAAAACAGTGCCTTACGTGTGTGACTTGTTCAGAAGACTTGGCACAATCGACTTGAGACAGGACCATGTCTTAGACGAGATTCGCTACTCCAACTTCATCCTGCCAATGAAGACGAAAAACCTCAGCTTTGGTAAGATCGCACAGCGACTCCCACGTAGGCCTCCTAAGGATGGTTGTCGTCGTCGATTCTGGTAATTTCCGTTGATTTTTCAACTAATCGCCCCGAACACCGAAACCAAAATTGTCTCACTCACCAGGCTCAGTAAATCTCAGGTCACACTGTACTGATTGTGAAATACTCACGAGGTAGTTGTCCGAACTGGCAGGTCTTTTCGTATCTTGTACATATGATATCAGACACAAGTTGTCAGCTAATTTTTCAGCTCACAAACCGTACATCGAAATGCAATGGCTCCAGGTGTCTCAGCTTCATTCACCGAAGGTTAGAAGGATAAGTGAACGAGAGCCATCCGATGGCCCAATCAATGTGGCAGAGATGGAGAACTATAGCAATGGCCTTGAAGCAAGCCACCATCGGCTGCGTGACAATCATATCTGTCAGGTTCACTGACCGTTTGTCTTGTCCTACGGTTCCCATTCGAGGGGGTGGGATTTTCTAGCGCAACTGAGTTAACTGATGAGATCTTTCATGCTTCGTTGACAGGTCGTAAAGTGGCAGTCCCTGGGTCGTCTCCAAGGCTGGGCGAAGAGGACTCTACGACGCGAACGGTGTTGTGGTATACGAAGCACATGGCCTAACCAATGTAGCCTCTGGAGTGTGGCCAGCTGATCTATCGAGGAAGACTGAACCCTCTCCAAAACAGTCTGTTGTACTTTAGCGTGACTGATCTTGGGCGAGATGGCCCAAGTGGTTAGATCGCGAATTTACTGACTGGAAGGTCTTGGTTCGGAACCCGAACTCTGCCTCTCTATTTCCCCTTTCTAGGCTTGGACAACCTGGCATTATCCCAGCCCTCGTGCTTCCTTCGGGTACGATGGCAGTTAGGCACCGGAAGGGTGCTATAGCTGAACGATTTTTTTCCACTAGACTCGCACAATGCTTCGAAGGCACCTATGGTCAAACGGAACCTCCGCACGCAGCAGCACTTTACAGATGCAAGGCACATCCCGAGCTGTGTGGTAGAAATATTAGGTTTTCTAGAGTAGCTTATTTCTAAGGGGTTTGATCCAAGGCGAGTAATATCGCCAGCGTACTCAACGTCCATGAACGAAACACCTGGTAGTATTCCCATCCCCGTGGTGTTACAGGTAGGCAAAGGAGATTTAAGCGGCCTATGGATTACTAAGTTGAAGCAAAACGGCGATAGGACATCCTTGCCGGCAACCAGTCGATGTGGCGAACTCGGGAGAATCTGCTGTAGACACTTATGCCTCTATAAGAGGTAAGGATTAAGACGGTATGCCCCACATCACCAGACACTGTCACAGTTTCTGACGATCAACTGAGTCAAAAGCATATTTGTGATCGAGGAATACGACCGTTGATTTGGTCTTCAGAAGGAGTGGTGGAGTTCAGAAAGTTGCCGCAAGGTGAAAATATGACCAATGCAACCCCGTTCAGAACGAAACCTAGATTCTCGCCAATCTATTTTTCTTGATGGATCAACCTGTGCAAGGTGATGCCAGGGTACACCTTGGAAGCTATAGCCAGTAGCTGGCACCCAGGTGGTTTTTGCACGATGTCCTTTCATTCTTCTCGAATATGAGAATCACCATCGAGGCACCCCGTTCTATCGGAAGTTCCTCCATATTCCAGAGATTTTTAGTGAGCTTGTTAGGTTATCCACAACGGACTCGCCACCTTCGTTGAAGAGTGCAGGGTGCAAAGCGTCTGGTACATGTGCTTTGTTGCGGTGAAGAAGTGAGGTTGCACGCTGAACTTCCGTCGTCGATGGCGGACTGATATCGACACCCTAATTGGACCCGGTCATTCCAGAAGTTGTGTTGGCGGGGCCCATCGGGACCGTTCTCCAAAGTGTTCAGCTCATCGTTCAAGACGACGTCTTTCTGAATTGATTGAGGTTCCACCCTCAGACCGGTTGACTAGATTATCTGGAACAGGATACGATTGTTCCCGTTGACAAAAGCCTTATCCGTTTCCAGGGCTTTTGCGATGCACCAGCGCTCTCGTTCAATCCTTGCCTTCTTCTTTATTTGACCATTGAGGGTTCTGCGCGCGCTATCGCAGTTATTTGTTACTGATGCAGTTTTCATGGCTTCCATTAGACCTACTATTGGTGGCGAGATTTAGCGTTCATTGGGGTGTGCCAATGTCCTCGGGTAGACGGTTTCAGATTATGTTATTATGGCTTCTTTCACCTCTCTCCATTGTGCCCATCAAGTTCTGGGAGCATCTCAGCCAACTCAACTCGATATTTATGAGCTACAGAGACGCTTTTCAGGTGGTGAGCTAAATGCATTCGCATCAAGCGGTGCGTCCCGAAAAGAAACAGAAGGGGTCGCCGTGATTGAAGTTCAGAGGTGCACTCCAAAGCAAACGAAAATTTTCTATCGGCAACCGGTAACTGATTGCCGTGTGGTCCAAATACATCCACGGCTAGTACGGAGTTGATGGCCTCCAAGTCACACGGTGTGAGCACTTGTGCTGCAATTTTGTGCTGGCCAGAAGTAGATGGTATTTAGAACATAATTGGACTAGCCGTTTCCAACTACCTGTGCGACGAACAACAACCCCGAGTCCGCCGCCAAGATGGGCTTCGTCAGGACTCAGTTGGCCAACCTGCCAGAATCACGATATCTGTGCATCTCGCTGGCTGGAGTAATCGTGACAAACCTCTGTAGGGGATGTCTTTCTGAGCCTCAGAGCTGCTGTGTACCAGAGCGTACGCTGGCACAACAAACAACACCGTTTGCCACATCGAAATGCATTGATCTTGACTGATCCAGTCAACCTAACAGCGCAAAGATGACTGTTCACTGGAATCCACTCCAGTAAGGCACATTCAACCCTGGGGCTAAACAGACACCATGAGCCACTGCGTCAGGATCGCGGGACACCTGAAGAATAAGGTGTGAGAAATCTAAATTCGTCGCGGGTGGTTTGGAATGGTTGACCGAGCCGGAGTCTTGTGTGTTTCCGTCACGAAGAGACGACCTTACCGTGGTGTGACGGTTTGCGCACCTCATTGAATTATATTGAGGAGTGTCCCCTTACACTCACAGAGCCTCTTATAACAGGATGGTCAACGATTAGAGGCCTGACAAGCACAATCTCCTGACCCTCCAGGTTGGGGGTTGGAACATGTGACGACTTGTTCCGTAGAAATGGTAGTGCGTTTGCATTTCCCGCCAAACACAGCTGCCTTGTGGCTAGGCCTTTGGGCTTTGGTGGAGGACCCCAATCGTCCTCCTGTCTAGGTGTGGGTGCCCTGGCAGTATCTCACCCCTCCTACAACCATGACATTCACAACTAAAAATACTTTCATGCCACATCGACCGTCGCGTGGTGCCACCAGCCTGGTCGCCTTATTTGCTACATACAGCAGGGCGGGCAAGGGAAAACAGGCTGCCGCTAACGCCTCCCTTCTTTCTCTTTCACATAATTTTTCTTGCTCCCACACGACTCGCTCAGCATTGATGTGCCTTGTGTATCAGAAACAAGAAATCAAGATGCAAGCACAGTGGCTGGGCTAACCGCCCCATCAGTCTCCACTTGCTTCCGGTTACGCCCCTCTGCTGATCCAGAGGCTGCTGCGGCAGGATATGCAAGAGGTGGTATCGTCATAAGTCACCTGGTGGAAGTATCCTTGTTTGACTGAATACCTTTTGATAGTCGCCTCCGTGCGGTTCGTCTGGGAACGTCTATGAAGGAGTCTCACAAGCGGGAAGTTGATCGATATCTGCTTATCGTGTCTGCTTACGCCCAACTGACTGTAGCTCCGACGCCGTCAAAGACAGGTTTTACGATGCACTGAATGCCCTTTTGTGGCAAGTTAAAAGCTCAAATATTGTTGTGGTTGCCGGAGATCTGAATGCAAAATTAGACAGGCTTTGCTCATCTGAGATTCAAATAGGAGGACGACATTTATTGTACTCGGTACGTACGGACATTGGTGGATGATTGCTTCAGCTATGTGCGGATCGCAAGCCGCTTTTATACAGTACTTACCTCCAAAATAGCCGAAGTCATCTGGCCACATGGTGCCCTCCAACGGCAGGCCGACCACAAACTCAAATCGACCACATTGCCATCAGTTACCGATGGTGCGGATCGATAACTGACTTCCGGTCGTTTTGGAACAAATTTGTGTATTCTGACCGCACACTCGTCCGGAGTCGCTTCTCCCTACGTTTTCCAGGATCGTGTAAGTTGCGGACAAATAGCTTAGCAACTGAGAGACTGGCAGATCCGGATGTTCGGTCAACTTACCAGAATAGTCTCCTAGAGTCTTCCAAATCCTCCACTATCAGATGTGAACTCATATTGGGACGAGAGTGCCGCCTATTTGTGCAGTGTTGGGAGTTTTACCTGTGGCACGGCACCACCGGGCACTCTCAAGCACTGGATATCATACCGAAAGAGTGGCATTGCTTAAATCTGGGAGAAATATCCCCAGCCGATCCCGAACATAACTTGACGCAACGAATTATCAGAGGTCAAGTGAAGTGTGGTGAATACATGAGTCCAAGGAGGTTGAAGAGGCCCTGAATAGCCGGTAATGCCCAAAGATTATTTCAGTTGATCCGTGTGACTCCACCCCGGAAACTACCTCTGAGTGAAACCATAAAGCATCAAAATGGAACGACCATCTCGAATAAAGTAGAACGCCTCGACCGGTGGACTGGATACTTCGAACAACAAATGTCGTGGCTAGCAGCTGGCACTCATCTAGAGCCCACAGGTGAGCTTGAACCCCAGATGATGAACGTGGAACAATCTACGGCTCGGAGGTTTACTACCGCATATGTCAAGCGGCATCGAGCTCCTGCTCTGGGTGGCTTACTACCCGCACTGTTCAGATCTTTTTCTTGCTCTCTGCTGATCCAGAGGCTGCTGCGGCAGGGTATGCAAGAGGGGGGATCGTCATAAGTCACCTGGTGGAAGTATCCTTGTTTGACTGAATACCTTTTGATAGTCGCCTCCGTGCGGTTCGTCTGGGAACGTCTATGAAGGAGTCTCACAAGCGGGAAGTTGATCGATATCTGCTTATCGTGTCTGCTTACGCCCAACTGACTGTAGCTCCGACGCATTCAACGACAGGTTTTACGATGCACTGAATGTCCTTTTGTGGCAAGTTAAAAGCTCAAATATTGTTGTGGTTGCCGGAGATCTGAATGCAAAATTAAACAGGCTTTGCTCATCTGAGATTCAAATAGGAGGACGACATTTATTGTACTCGGTACGTACGGACATTGGTGAATGATTGCTTCAGCTATGTGCGGATCGCAAGCCGCTTTTATACAGTACTTACCTCCAAAACAGCCGAAGTCATCTGGCCACATGGTGCCCTCCAACGGCAGGCCGACCACAAACTCAAATCGACCACATTGCCATCAGTTACCGATGGTGCGGATCGATAACTGACTTCCGGTCGTTTTGGAACAAATTTGTGTATTCTGACCGCACACTCGTCCGGAGTCGCTTCTCCCTACGTTTTCCAGGATCGTGTAAGTTGCGGACAAATAGCTTAGCAACTGAGAGACTGGCAGATCCGGATGTTCGGTCAACTTACCAGAATAGTCTCCTAGAGTCTTCCAAATCCTCCACTATCAGATGTGAACTCATATTGGGACGAGAGTGCCGCCTATTTGTGCAGTGTTGGGAGTTTTACCTGTGGCACGGCACCACCGGGCACTCTCAAGCACTGGATATCATACCGAAAGAGTGGCATTGCTTAAATCTGGGAGAAATATCCCCAGCCGATCCCGAACATAACTTGACGCAACGAATTATCAGAGGTCAAGTGAAGTGTGGTGAATACATGAGTCCAAGGAGGTTGAAGAGGCCCTGAATAGCCGGTAATGCCCAAAGATTATTTCAGTTGATCCGTGTGACTCCACCCCGGAAACTACCTCTGAGTGAAACCATAAAGCATCAAAATGGAACGACCATCTCGAATAAAGTAGAACGCCTCGACCGGTGGACTGGATACTTCGAACAACAAATGTCGTGGCTAGCAGCTGGCACTCATCTAGAGCCCACAGGTGAGCTTGAACCCCAGATGATGAACGTGGAACAATCTACGGCTCGGAGGTTTACTACCGCATATGTCAAGCGGCATCGAGCTCCTGCTCTGGATGACTTACTACCCGCACTGTTCAGATCTGTTTTCTTGCTTTTGGGAAGGGAAGTCTGTCCCAGGCAACTGGGGAGGGTCGGTAATAGTCCCCATTTTCAAAAAAGGGGCGCGTAGTGAGTGTGGTGACCACAGGGGGATCAGCTGGACCATGATCATAACGAGACTGTTGGTGTCACTTGTGCTTCGTTGCCTTACGGTGGCTCGTAAGACACTGACTCGAGAGCAGCAAGCAGGATTCCAGCCTGGTAGGTGTTGCGTTGACCAAATTTTCACACTCCGTCAGGTGCTAGAACAACGCCATACGTATAAGCGACTCAATTCTAGTATTCCTGGATTTCCGAGGTGCATTCGAATCGGTTGACCGGTTTGTTCTACTTGACACGCTTGCCCACCAAGGAATGCCCCGGAATTTCGCGAACTTAATAAGCTTTGTGTTTTCACACTTCCGGACGTGTGAAGTGTACGGGGAGCTCTCCAAAAGCTTCCGTACACAAAACGGTGTCCATCAGGGATGCCCACTCACTCTCTTCCTTTTTAACTTCGTGATCAATGAACTAATGAGATGAACATTAGAGGGTCTCCAGAACCCTTGTGTTCAAACAGCCTGAGAAGAAAACCCTGTCGATCTGGAGTACCCACACAACATCGTTCTCATCTTCGAAGAGGAGAAGAAAGAGTAAGTGTTTTTGGGTGAACTGACTAAAGTCATCCCGTTCTCTGGAATGCACTTTGTACCCACAAATTGTAAGGTCATGCTCGTGGACATGCAGTCACTGAACACGCCACTTACGATCCAGGGAGAGACACTGGAAGTTGTGGAGCATTTTACTTATCTTGGAAGTTGTGTTAGTTCTGATTGTAGTGTGACAGATAAGGTGAATGTACGAATATGCAAGACTCGGGTCGCGTTTGCTAACTTGAGACCCGTATGGCGTCAGAGTGGTTCATCTCTGAATCTGAAGGGACGTGTGTATCAAGCTACAGTACGGGCTGTTCTGTTGTATGACTGTGAGACTTGGCCTGTTGGAGCAGCGGAAATGAGATGTCTTCAAATGTTCGACAATCGTTGTCTCAGAACCATAGCTTGTGTGTGTTGGTATCGGTGAATCCGTAACGAAGCAATTACGAAGCGGCTTTTCGGTTGCTTAATGGGTACTTCCATTAAAGAATGTGTCCAGAATCAGAAGCTGCGTAGGTTGGGACATGTGTTGCATATGCCGAACCATCGGTTGCCGATGGGAGTACTGTTTGCCATGTCCAACTCAGAGTGGTGGAAGCCTGGATATTTTTAGCGTCCTCTCTGCACCTTCGTTTATCCCTCTTACTATCTTGCAACCTCAGCGTCTATATGCTGTGACAACCCGAACCAATGTTGGATTTCCCACTGTTTGTGCTTGAAAAGCCGGACGGAACTGAGATGCTGAGTCTTCATTTTTGGAGACGATATGGCCAAACGCAAACCTCTGAATGGCCCTCCCGTCATGTTACTTATAACCAAGAGAAGAATGAGCAAAGGACAAAAAGTTGAATTCAGCGGAGGAAAAAATGCCAAAAGCATTTCAACTGTTGTCCCAAGGCTTCTTGTTCACTTGCTTATTTCCCTTTTCTCCTTTATTGCCCGCCGATTTATCAGACCATCTAATAAAGACTCATTATCTATCCGGCGAAGTTTGACCCAAATGATGGCGTACGATAGTTGAAGAGCGCTATTATCGTGGCTGCCATATTGCGGAAGGGATTTCTTTCACCCTGTCCAAATCAGTTACTCTTAGGTACAGGTTAGCTGCTTTAACACTTCGAGAACCATGACAAAATGTCCAAATTCATTTGATGTGGTTCCCGAGTTATTTTCATTTCTCATATTTTACTGGCCTGTCTCAGTAGTTTTATCGGAATAGACGCTTGCCTGCTTAAATTGTTCCCTGATATTCGCGCACCTACTCTTCAACAGCTCTCAATAAGTTATTCGTTTCCCGCTACTTTCGTCGCTTCGGTTTTTTTTTACAGAGGCAAGATCTGACAGAGCAAAATGATGTAAATTCTCGCAGAGAAGTAGGGACGACCTCTCCAAATATAATTCCTATAGTGAACTGTCTGGCAGTTGACTTTCTTAGCTCGGATTTTTTCCCAAAGTTTTTGTTTCGTTTGAAGTTTTACTGGGCTTTTCAGGTGATACATTCCATCCACCATTTAAACAGACTGTCAAGATCACGATTACCTGTTCTTGTTTCCTCCGTATCATTCACTAGCTTGCTACTGACTTTTGGTTGGCCACAACTAGTCTAATTCCCCGCCCTCTCTTTTCAGCTTTTAGGCCTTGTTTGACCCATGTCAAACCCAACTGGTGGATCAGTGACCGGTGCCACCTCTCTTTTCCGACCTTCTATACTTACGGTCACCTCTGATTTTTCTCACCCGGCAAATGGCTTGTCCACAGGAGCTGGAGATGCGACAGGTCATCAGACAACTGCACTTCCCATTATTGAGCCAGCGACGACTATACATGGAGTCGATCCACAACCCGTACCCAACGTCGAAAAATCAGTGCCTAGCGACTATGTGTTTGGTTCTAACATTTCTTCTCGTGTTGTGAATGCTGACACTACTCACGGGGCCTCTTCTAGCCTCCTAACTGTGACCTCGACCAGTCCTTTGAGCCAGCGACGACTATACATGGAGTCGATCCACAACCCGTACCCAACGTCGAAAAATCAGTGCCTAGCGACTATGTGTTTGGTTCTAACATTTCTTCTCGTGTTGTGAATGCTGACACTACTCACGGGGCCTCTTCTAGCCTCCTAACTGTGACCTCCGACCAGTCCTCCTCCTCTGTATTCACCGAATTAGCTAAAGCTGTTTCCTCAAAACCCATTGAGTCTAACTCCAAAACGCTTGCTGATTCTGTGAACAAGATAACGGAAGACCAAAAACATTCGGCTTTGAACTTATCGGAAATTGACCCAGTTACTGGAGAAGAAGATGAACTCCCCATATTTCGACAACATTGCCGTGCGTACATATTTGATACGGAGAAGCAGAAATGGAATGGTTTGGGTGGAAGTCACTTTCATTTAAATGACTCCAGGCCAGAGGGGCTACCAGACCAATCTGGTTTTCGATCGCGTATAGTGGTGCGTTTAGCCTCGACTAGGCGAGTGATAATAAATAGCCCTATATGGGCAGACATGCCAGTGGCCCTTGTCAATTCTCGAAATCTTCGAATAGGCGCAATCAGTGAAGATGGGGGACATATTCGAAGTTATCTCTTCACGTTTTCTTCGGATGAACTGGCGTGTACATTATTTGATTTACTCTCTGTTCGCAAGGAGAAAGTCGAACCGCTCAAGAAAGTCGAATCGCCTCCCAACACAATAGGCCATAAACGTTCTGCTGACGTACCGGCAGGTGGTCCAAGTCCCAAGCTAGCAACTCGAAACTCCACTGCTTCGGATATCCGGTGTTCCCAACCCGATTCCAACGACCATACTACTGCCCATTTCCCTCAATCCGTTTTTACCCCAAATACAGATGAACCGGATGTCCCAGCAGGTGGAACTCCAGCCAAGGTTTCCGATGATTCGGTCAAACCACCGTGTAAATCAACCCTTGTCAGCACGGTCAATACCGTTGTTGAACAATTCCGCAAATTTCGTTCCCAGAATTTCCTGGATTTCTCGCGTTCGCCACAGGTTATTGACCCAGAAGATGGATATATCGCTCTAGAGTTGAATTGTCAACTTTATTCTTTCGATGAGGAAAAACGCGACTGGCTGCAACGTGGAGCTGTCGATATATGTGTCATAGATGTATCATCTGAATCAGCTTCCCTGTCCAGTTGCGCTGACGACAATCCGCGAAATACCACCATACCTGCTCAATCCTTTTTGACTATTAATACGGCTGGGACCCACAACTTGTTAACGGCAATTCCTGTTTGGTCTGGTACGACTGCCTGCTTGGTAGATGAGCGTGTTGTCCAGCTGATTACGGCGATGCCGGTAAGTATCCACATCCAATCCAGATATTGCGCCTTTTTATGTAAACTGGAGAAATTAGTGAATATATGGGATCTTTCATTGTAGATTAAAAAGACTAAAGAGATTGCAATCACATCTGTTATTGGTAGGGCCGGTACGCTGAGTGCTCCTGCATATTGGTGACACCTGTAGAATACCCATCCGAAAATAAGTTTAAATGTGTGTATAATTAAGCAAAATATGCCCAAAACAGTCCGTTTAAACGTGGGTACGACCACCAGTTGGCCTCAGATTTCTGGAACACGTTCCTGGTCCCCATTGCATACGAACAATCTAACCAAGGCCGAACACAGATTTCCTCAATCTCTGAACAGCGCTGAGGAAGCTCACCTTGCCCAATAGCCCAATGGGGTCTGCGTGACATATTAGTGCTCCAAAAACTGCATTTGGGACATTAGCTCACAAACCACAGCTCAAGATGATTGTGTCTAGTGAAAGAACTAGGCATAGGAGCGGAGGGCTAACTAACATAACTAAAAATACTCCACCCAGCGATCTACGCTTCAGCCCGTAATGTATATTAGGTTTCTTACATGATATTTGACTTGCTGGTACTGATTTTAGTCCCTGTTTCGCAATTAGTTGTAGCTTCCTTCAAGCAGTCCAAACCTCACTGGCCTCCTCCATTTCTTGAACGTTCTCGTTCCACCACGCCTCTGTCCATATGCAGGCTACGTTTGAACCGTCCTCTGACCAACCGTCTGTCCGAATAGTACTTTGAGTCCGAAGAAATAGGAAATACCATATTAAGGAGTCATGGTGACCATTCTGGTATTCAGTGGTTCCCGTGTACGCGCTCGGAAACACCACAATAGGGGTTCTCGAGGTCACTCATAGTTGTGGTTATTTTATGTCAGTTATGGTCAGTTTCTTCCGAGTAAGCCGCCTGCAATACATTGCAAAGCAGGCTTTGCTATGTTTCCTGAGGCTTTTCTACCGCTCTTTTCTGAAAATTGTCGTAGTAGCAGTATCCCAGCCCACGTACAACCCAGAACTGCACACTTACGAATAATCTCATACCACATCGGCCGTCGCGTAGTTCAATCAGTCGGACTGCATTACTTGCCACATGCAGCATGGGAAGTGAGCGAAAACAAGCCAGTTCTGACGCCTCTCTTCTTGCAATTTCACGTATTCCTTCTTCTACCCTTCTCCACCTCAATTTGAATGCTTTTTCCGCAGGTCCCAGCACTAGGACTGACTGCTTCTTTCGGCATGCATCACGCTCAAGTGCAGCTTCTATGCGTCCGACTTCACGAACAATCTTACAAACCTGGAGGTCTGTTTTGAAACCCCGAAATCAGGTCTACTTGGCTGCCTTTAATGTTCACACACTGAAGTAGACAGGACAACGGGCAGCTCTTGTACGCTGGATTCTCTATGTATGCTCTCTTGGGAGCGGGATCCAGGACGCAAGTATTGTAATTGAACCGACTGCCCCTTCACTCTCTTCCAGGTTCCGGCTGCGCGGCTATAGTGATGTGGTCGCCGCTGCAGCTGGATATACCGGGGTTCCAGCGGTCGAGCGGAAGCGCCTCTACGTAAATGGATACCCGTCCACAGTCGCTTATGTGCAGTTCGTTTGGCAACGTCCGTAAAAGAATCTCAAGAAAATAGAGTCCTTCGCTTCCTGCTTATTCTATCTGCTTACACCTCGGCAGACTGTAGCTCTGATTCAGCCAAGGACAGTTTCTATGATGCCATAGGTGTTTTTTACAGCGGACCTAAAGCTCACACATAGTTGTGGTTTCTAGTAAAATGAACGATCAGGTAGGTGGACTAAGTGCTGATGATATCCAATTGGTTGGTCGCCTTGAGTTTCGCACGAGAGACACCAACAACGGAGGGGGGTGCACCACAGCTGAAGGATCACCCAAAGTTCGCAATAAACGGCGTTCATGTAGAGAAGGTGCAGTATTTGGATCCCGTTTTCGAGCTTCAGGAACACAGCAAACGTCTTTCGACAAGGTACGTAGATTACGTGAAAGAACACCTTGTTTGATGTTGGCTGGGAATCCTCTAGTATAACCTACTGCGTAGCTAGGTACGCAAAACGTCGCATCACGATAAGTCTCAATCTTCTTGCGACGAAATTTCATCATTAACTCGACTGATTGAAGTGAACTAGGGATATCATACTCCGAACATGACTGGGCTGTAGTATTCCGCTTATTGGAAATGGCTGAGTCAGGCGAGGCATTCTAGAGGAACTTGGAAACCAAGTGGGACTTAGGAGCCTTGCTGCATTCCCAGTGTCGTCGATTCCGATAGTGCTGTCGTTTGTTGGTACCATCACTTGTGTTTGGCTTGAAAATCTTGTGAACAAGTACTCGAGACGTCATAAAGTGTAATTCTTTCCTACTGATTGTGATCATGATTGAAGGGAAAAGCTTAATATGCTTTGGGGGGGGTCGAGTTTTGGTCGGTTATTTCAATGAAAGAGAGGGATTTCGATTACACCGAGAACAGTTTGTTTTCTGTAGTGACTTGAAGATCACACCAAGAGGTGTAGAGCGGAACCGGTTCGCTTTTTTTATTCTCTCGGGCAGTGAGTTCAGCTGACAGATGGTCTTTGCCATACATACGATCGACCGCTTGCATATTTTTTTCTGGGTTCTGCACCAGTTCTGGCTGTCATTCCATCCCATAGTGTATTTCCCAACGGTCTCCGCACATCGTACTCTGCTTTCTTGACGCCTACGTTACAGTACCTGAAGACCGTTCCTCTAATGATGAAAACTAAACAGGTAATCGGTCCACATGCGACCGACCTGTATTAGCTCGTAGCATCCAAACATTTTCTTATTTCATTTGCACGGTTCCGCTGGAAGATTTTCGTAAAATGGTAAGCCATTGCGTTGTCAAACATGAACTCAGCATGTGATATATCGATATTGTCTTAAAATTCAGATCGGTATGCGTGGAGGCCAAGTGCGGCACTTCCTCTCATCTGATTCGCAATGCTGGGCTATCAAGGACCAGTGTGAACTTTTCACCTGTTCTTTTGCGTCAAAAACGGATAATAACACCATTGGGTGTGGCCTATTGTTGTTCACAACCCCCCTAAAACCTAGAGTTGTGCGATCGGTCATGCAGCGGGTGTCCAGTAGTATGATTTCAGTAGTATGTAGATAAGGTTTTCCACGTGATTGTACACTATGTAACACATCTCGTATACTCTATCTTTTTACACAATCCAAGGGTTACAAGGGTGATGACAGCTCAGCAGTTACGCCAGAAGTCAGCGCCTATTTGATCGTGATGCAGTCACCTGAAGCTGCTACAAAGTTCTATCAAACAGTTGTATCGCGTATTGACTCAGTGAAAGAACATTATTCTCGGCAGCGGAGGGAGGCTTCATGTGATCTGTTTTCTGAGGTACATGCGGCATCAGAAACGAGTCAGCCTCAACCTTCCACAGGTAAACATATTATTGGCTCTGAAGCTTGTTTGTGTGCGAGCAACTGAATTGCTCGTTATCCCTCTGAGGTGTCTCAGCAATCGCTATGATTAAAATATTGACTATAGTTGCCCTGCGAAGCGAGATTCGCTTCTCAGTGGAAGGCAACACAAATAATCTCTTCAAGCCACCAAATGTCGTGTTGTCCTTTGTTCAGATACTGTCATTTCCCCTTTTTTCGTCTCCACATGTTTCTCTTTTTCCACATGTTAGTTTGTTCTATCTTCCTTTAGTTGACCTTGTGGCTGCCTTTGTGCAAGAGCCGGTGGCTCACGTGCTTGAACGTGAGCGTGCGGATGTTTGTTTGTTTGTACGTTTTTGTGAGCAAACTTTTCACAATAACAGCGCCGTATAAAAACCAACCCTCGGTTTCATTTTGCCAGATATTTCGTCTCACTTGGAGGTACCGTCTTGATTGCGACGGTAACTCGACTTTTTACCTCGTCCTACTTGGTTTCAAGCGTGCCGGGTCTTGGACCTGTCGCGATTGAAATAGATGTTTCAGTAATTGGGAATCTTATTCCATGCGTCGATGTGGCGGGAGAAATGATTTCATTGCAGGCTACTTTACTGACATCACATCCCGATTCTGCATTTGGTCGTAAGAGTAACCTGGCTTTGAAAGACCTGAGAATCGCACGCATCAAGAAGTAAGGGTTTAAGCAAGAAATTTGGTTCCAGTGCTCTCTCCAAGAGACACAGCTAAACGTAGCTCGAGGCCGAAGAGCCGATCAACAGATCGATCGGCTTGGTACTTGAAACCTTCAGATGAGTAGGAAAAAACCTAAATAACAAGAATCACATCAAGCAGTCATTGTCGGTAACGGCTGGCTCAATTAACCCCTTGATAACCACCACAGAACTTCAGATGTAGGCCTCATATTTTGACGGTAACTCAATTCGTTACCGGATGTTTATGCGCTAACTGCATATATGAATCAAAATTACCTGTCGATGGCATCTATCTGTTACCTACCATCTACATCACTACTATCAGGACGGTACCAAACTATCTGTCGTGGTGCTTCCACCAGAAGAAACTTTTGCCGTTAGATGAAGCGGAGTCGATAGACATTGCCAAGGTATTTCTTTTAATCAGATTACCCATGATTTCAGCGCTGTCAGTTAGACGGACAGCTATTTAATGGTCATATCTTAATGATATCGCCCTTGACAGCTCCACCAGTGAGTGTTCTAATTAAGTATGACGTCTCGCAAACGCAATGGTCAGCGCTGATCAGTACTGAGGATGTGAGGATGTGTTAAAAAAGCTCACTTTGTTGCATACTCAGGAACCCGCCGGGGCTGAGAGTAAGGCAAAAGAACTAAGTGATAACCAAGTTTGATGACTGCTCAATCGGCAGTTTGCAGATATTAGTCTCACTTGTGGACCAGCAGATACTAGTGATAGTCAAGACCCGTGGGATTACGAGTGGATGGGCATTACCAACTACAGCTCCCGTGAATAGATAACGTGCTGGACCTAACCAATAGCTTGTGACTAGTACGAAGGCGACTAGCTACGCCTTGCATAATTTAGTGACCAGGTCCTTCAGGCTTGTCTGCCAATGGGGTACACCGACCGATTGGTGAATGCCCATAAAGTGTCATCTAGTGTAGCGAAATGATCCCCCTGTATCACCCCATTGTTACCCCAACAGTGACAGAAACGTCTCGTATTTCTATGCTGCTAAATATGTCATTCCCATCAAGGACCTGGTTTAATATCAAAGTCTGTAAGCGTTTTACTGGGTTTTCGCCTGGAGTAAGTTGCTGTCACACTTGGTATGGAATCGCTCTGGCGGTGGTAAATCTACGAACTTCATTAGGTGTCTAAGCCGTTTGATGCAATGTACTTCCCGTTTTCGTGTCACATTGGCCTTTCGAAAGACAGTATCAAACTGGCTCTCGTTTTCCCACTTAGATCTTCAGCGCAACAGACCATAGCCTATGTACAAGCTGTCGCTTGGCGCTAGCATATTTTTATTATCCTTATGGAAAACGGACATCCGGAGCAGTTCGTAAGGAGGTACTTCAATGCTTAATCCAGAACCCAAAGAAGCCCATCAGTCGCAATACATAACCATCTCCATTCGCCTTCTGTTTAGAGACGACATGGATCCCGAAGAATTGACCGGTCGTCTGACTCCACTGCCTTGAACTGGCGTTTATTGTAGCCCAGTTAGAGATACACTTCAGCAACAGTCTACTGATCAGCACCAACCTCAAGGATAGATTGCCCGTCCGTGACTAACCAATGGTGGTTTATTCGTTTGTTTGCCAACGTTCAGCAAACTATGTGGTTCGCGCGACTCCGCGCCTATCCAAGAGAATTCGTGAGCCCAAATAGAGCCGCTTGAGAACTGGACTGGTCAGACACGTGATTAGTGCAATCGTTGCTCATCTGATCGATACCAACCACCAGATCAATCCGGCGGAATCGTTCTGACACATTTCCTGATTGCCTTCAAATCGTTCTAAAGCCGAGCATCAGTGAGCATTGGAAATGTCTTAGGCAATTACTGTTCGGCCATTTGATCCATGGCCGTTTCACCAAAAAAGACACTTGAAGGTCCTGGGACCGCCTTGGTCCACTAATCCCAAACAAACTAATCAGATAGTACCCTTGTTTGAAACCTTTGTAAGGCCTTCGACGGATTTATAATCCTGTTCCAAAGGGACGCCATCAAAACCATATGCTCGCAGGCTGTATTCTGGCGATACGTTTTTCACTACAGACTGAAATAGTAGCCATACTTCGCCGGATCCCGTATATTTAGGTCACTGCGCACTTGGTGTTTCACGTTTGGTCCTCATTTAGAGGGACAGATACAATGCGTAAACTGTGTAAAATCGATGCAGTATGCATAGTTACACTGTTCACGTTGTCCAACGTTCGGTAGCACTTTCGCTGATAGTAGTGTTAATGGTTGATCAGCTGTCACGCCACCCGAAGTAAGCATGAGAGTTGATATACCCAAGCCCACACATTGGGACAGTCAAGATGTAAGGGTCAGGCTCGAACAACGGACCTTCCAGATAGTATGTTCATGCCTTAACCACTGAGCTGACGGTTGCTTCAGTCATTTTTACAGTTTTATGTTTTCTAGTCGGTCCTATGATGCTCGGTGTACTGCCCAGGTTGTTAAGCTCCAAACGTGCGGTCCTTATGATCATCCCTGTGGTATGTTGCAAGCTGCGTTTATGTTCTCACTTTCTGTCCAGATTTTCTGAGTGAATGTTCGGAGGTTTATATACCTGAGGTCTGCTGGATTCATATCTCGTGGAGACGAAACAGCTCATGATAAGCGTGACGGCTGTTTGTTTATATTAGACTAGCTCCTGTGAAGGGCTTAGGTATTCTGGCACGGTAACGGACTGAGCGTTTCAACTGCCTCAGTCTTGTGTTCAGCACAGTGGCACATCAAGCGACTAAGCAAACATCGAAATGTACGGATGTTCTCTGTGATACTTCTTATTCCTGACCTTTTGTACCCTTAATTTGCGGTGATGTCATGCACTGTGTATTCGTATGATGCCGTGGACCCCGTCAATCTTTTTTGTCCTCCAGCAGCACCCGAGATTACGTCCTACAAGTAATGCATAACAACTTACTACTTAGTGGTTGCCAGAAGCCAAACAGGAAGGATGCAATGATTTCCTGTGGTCATCCGTGTTTTCAACTTTCCACTCATTTTCGCCACTTCATTTATATACTTTTGCATTTGTTTTTTAATCGATGTGGTGGTTTATCATTTCAGTCCCCGGTAATTCACTAAGTGCGCATACTTTGGCTTGTCTAGCACGATGGTCCCTTTAGATCAGGTGTGTTATCGGTACCGACTAACGCGTAGACAAGTGGCTCGAGTCGAATCAATACTAGCCGACCTAAATTCCGCGGTGCTATGATAGTATGGGTCCAACGGTCTTCGAAACAGCCCAACAAATCAATGCATGCGAAGGGCGATCGTGAACGAAAATAACACAGGAACGGCCGGTAGTACCGTGAATGCCAACGAACCAATGAGAGAAAAACAAAGAAGGCCAGTAGTTGATGGTTAGAACACACAAGGGATGAGATGGGTCGCACGAGGTCATTGGCTCATGGGGACCCATCGGTCCAGGGTCGGATCGGCATACACGTGTGACTAGTGATTGAACCGATAAACACTCTGGGATGAATTCGTCAACAACAAAAGGGGACTAGCAAAAATAGCGTGAAGAGGTCAGGTATAATGGCTGGATGGGGATGATTTGGGCGAAGATTTTAAGGGAATTTTCCGCCTACAAATGGGACTGTAACAAGGTGTTTCTTTATTGTCACGCTTAAGCACATGTCTAGACTCAATTACTTCTGGTAACACACGCTTCGATAATAAGTAGGTGAATAAAGTACTTTTTTTCGCTGATAAGCTCCGTTGCTGTGTGCACGTCAGTGTGCTAATCCACTCGTTTTTTTTTGCCGTTTTCTCAACTTGTGCCTTCTTTTTAAATGTACTTCATTCCAGATCCACTAAAAACTGCTTCGCCCAACCGATCCGTTTGAGTTGAACTTACTACCTGATCAGCACTCCCTTCTGATATCCGTGCTAGTTGGGAGTGTGTTAGCCAGCTGTCGCCCTTGCTAACACTCCTCTTTGTTCCATACCGTCTTCCCAATGCCAAAATCTTGGTGTCTGCCAAGGTGCCCTGCAACCTCTCCACAGGGTGGCCCGCTTTTTTCCATAACCTGTACTGTTGAACATATACTCATGTCTAATAATTATTCTTTCTGTCTGTTTGTTCGGGTGGTTAATCCCTATTGGAGATTGAAAGCTTCGTCCTCTTGCTGGTGCTCTATCTGGACGACGATTCAGGATAAAATCAAACCCCAATCGCCCTAAAAAGTTACTGCTGAGTTGCATTTTTGAATGGGTAGCTGAAAGGCAATATAAAGTGGAAGGCAAATTTCTTTCGTAGTGAAGCACACCGATGCGTGGCGGGATAGTGATGGCAGAGGGCCACTCGCTAGGAATAGTTATTTTTCAATATTGTTGGAATGCTTGCATTTGTACTTGACATAGATCGGATTAGACTCCGCAATTCTAAGTGAAGAGAATATGATAATCTAAACACCGCTTTCTCGCTAGCATGGCTGACGCTTTAGCCTAAAAGTCATTCGCTATCTAATCCTACATGCGATCCCTGTATTACTCTCTGATACTGTCTCCAAAAAAGTGCGACCCTCTCACTTGACCTTTTGCTATGCCTACCTTCCGGTAAGTGAAGAAGACTTCCTAGTTTTCATATGATGCTAACACAAAGGACCTCGGAATACTTGCAAGCCCTTGAGCCTAAATAGAGAAGTCTTCTGTTCGTCTAACTGGTTTCTTGCTATGAAATTTTCATCAACTTTGCTTTATCGAGTAGATTTTTCGGAATCTCCTGGTTTACACAAATCGCGGCTTTTCTAATTACCCGGGGAAGTTTTCTTCACTGGGGAAGTTTTATCATGAATCTGTGTTGCCGGAGCTCTAATCGACGAGGAGTGTCGGATTTACCTTTTTGCTATCCGTTCAGTTTGATTTTCTCGGGAAAACTTGATTAGAATATGGTGAACTACCGGTCTCTGCCTCTCGACCTCCCCTGTCTAGGCTTGGGCAACCTGGTAGTATCCCAACCTTCGGGTGGCATGGCAGCTAGGCACCGAAAGGGTGCTACAGCTGAACGGAACTGCGGATACGCATACCAATGAAGCACCACGCCGAGGACTTTTGTAATTTACACGTTTTTTTTTCGGGAACCCCCCCCCTACCGGTGTAAATGGAGGTAAACATAATGTAGGTGATTTGTCAAAACTCGGCCGGTGCGTCTTCTAGAATATGATTCTCAGCCGTGGTTCGCATCAAGAACTATAAATGGGATTATGTGGGTTGTCCGTGTGGTATTTTCGGATTCTGTTGATCACTGCTTAACATTTTTCAAAATGTCATTGTTCTTTTTTTCTACCTACTGTGAACGCGAAAAAGTAGCTACCGATCTATCTCGATTTTGACGCCACGAAAGGTGCAGTCGGTTCACCATGTCGAAAGACATTCCCGTCAGAACACCTAGGTGAACCAATTAAATAAGCCACGACACCAGGTGCTGAAAACTGGGTTTGTGTTTTTGTTGATTCGAGGACTTGGTCGCAAAAAGTAGAAGTCTGGGAGTTCATGAAGTAAATAAAATGGCAGCTTACATCGTTCCAATCGGAACAGGAGGCGCTCTTTGTGTACCAAATTCAGTTAGAGAGGAAAAACAACTAGTGATTCAGTTTAGTTTCCCGCCAATATCGTGGTAAGTTGAAAGCGAGTGTTCTTTTACATAATTTCCCGTTATGTCTTAGTTTCCAGCCAACGCAGAAAACCTTAGGCTGATAGTCATTACGTGTGTATACGCGTAGTAGTCTGGTCCAGATAGCCAGAATCGTGGTTACAGATTATTTCATTTGGGCTTCAGAGAACCGCCCGCTGCAACAGAACACGTAATGCAGTTGACCGAATCGAGATACTGATACCGAAAGGAGCTCAGGGGCATTTTGTTACTTCGCGCTCCACACTGAGTCGAATCGGTTCAATCTTCGAAAAACGAAACCGGGTCAAGGAATCTCTGAACGATGAAGCACTCGAACTGATCGGTGTGATATTTCGTCTTTCCCACGTTTTAATACGATTATGGTGTGTCGAGTAGGCGATACAAACTTTCGTATTACTGTTTCACAATCAATAATTCCGAATTCGGCGTAGGTGCACGCGAGAAAGTATCCGCAGATTAGTGCGAAGGATCAACATAGTTTCTCTGTGACTTACTCTCAACAGTTAATTAACGGTTTTCCACCTTACGGTGGTACAGGCTTCCGCCCAGTCTTTTGTCATTCCAACCGTAAAATCTAAGGTAACCAATCAGCCTAGTATTTGACCCAGTGCCATTATACCGGTCGCACCCAGACACCATACAGCGCCTGGCGAGTGAATAGCACTATTGTGTGAGACACGTGCATTACCAGCTGGAGCCAAACAGGACTTTAGTTTACTGCGAATCAATTCTCAGTTTTGAGGTGAATTCACGTCAGGATTACCGGGCAGAGTATTAGCTTGTCTTGTCGACTCTCCCTTTTACGGTATTCATCATCGAAGAGCGCGGGTGGCGGCTGTCCATTATCATGTAAACTACTCCTCGGGTTCCCCATTGATTATCTACAGGTAATCGCGTCAACCTGTGAGCCCATTTTCCTAAACACATCTAACGGTATTTGATAAGTAGTAATGACGTTTGGGGCAACAGCTGGCCACAAGTAGCTTGTGAGGCAGTCAAGCCTTTCTGGTAGCGTGAGGAGATTTAGGCATTCTCGAACAACCTTCAATCACTTTGCTTTTCTGTTGAGATTTCGTCCTTCCAGCGAAGCCAGTTTATGCTGAAAGGCCGGAAGCAGTTTTCTCGAACAACCTTCAATCACTTTGCTTTTCTGTTGAGATTTCGTCCTTCCAGCGAAGCCAGTTTATGCTGAAAGGCCGAGAAGCAGTTTCATCTTCATCAGGAATCATCAGCAGTGCACCAGCAAATATACCTGTGCAATGGCATTCCACTATGGAACTACTGTGTATAGCTCGTCAATGCATAGGTGCAAATTGCTCGCTATGATTTTGAGTTTGTTTGACGGGCATTGCAATATTTACTCACCGCAGCCGGTTAGATCGCGAACCAATGCATCTTCGGACCAGTCTCTCACTGGATTACTCCATCATGGGTCAGTCGGGTGCCAGACAATTCAGTGTGTGATTTGGTCCCACCCAGGTGCGTAATGCACAAAATTTTGGGCTTATTTAAGGACTGTTACTATAGATGTCAAGCTGCTCAGTACTCAAAGCACGAAACTTATCAAGCGCACCGGTAATTTCTGTCGAAAACCCAATCCATAATGACAAAAAAACTGGTGTAGGTATCAGATGAGGATACGCTCTTAATCTTTTGACAACGAGCTTCATGTTCCGATAGACTCTGCTCCAGAGGTGGTGTTTTTCGGGCAATTAGGTCTGCGCTCTAATGATGAAGAAACTAACTTTCTGACGTTCACTACAGTAAGCTTGAACATTCAGTGAACCGGTTCGTGTGACGGCCACAAATCCCGACAGACCAGGCACTCACTGAAAGGCTAGAGAACTTCCTGCACGAACAGCCACAGCGTCTAAACCTCTGTGACAGTTGTTTTGACAGTTATCTAGCCTCACGATACTGTCCGACTTGTTTAATTTGGGACCGAATACACAAGGCGGATAAACAGCATGTAACTCACCAGTACTGAAATAACTATTCACTTATGTTTGCGTTTGAGCCTAATCCACCAAGAAAATTTTCAAATGAAACTGTACACATGTTATTCTTCAAGGTATTCGAAGTGCCTTTGAGCGCCCAATCAATAAACCAAATAGCCAAGTTAACCCGTGGATGCAGGGACACCAGTCCTTACGCTGCAGACAATAGAGCGGTGCAACCAACCAATCAATCTCGAGATGAGACCACAACGCAATGTAAATCGACAAATGGAGCGAGTCAGAGCGACAGAATAAACTGCTGAAAATGGAAGGCATTGGGATAGACAATCGACTAAAAGGAACACAGACGGAAACGTAATAAAGTTCACGAATGAATCAATAAACTCACGAAAATCTCCGTAACCCAGCTAGTACATCACATTATGAGATAACGGGTAGTCTTCGAATGTTATATAAACCACGCAGGCAAGCAGGAAGTACTCGCCCAAATACACACTGACATCTCATATGATGATAAAACGTTTGCTATTCGATTGCCAAGCTTGTCCATCTGATCAACAACCAGTAGATGCCCATTTTTCATTGAAATGAAAGAATTCGTACAGAGAAGAATTCTTCTGAGCTCTTACGGAAGTGTAGCATATATTGAGTCAAATAGCAGAAGAAAGCGCGACAGCACTGAAATACAGTTTAGTACACCATCGTACAATATGAAGCGAAGGTGTTAGGTACCAGCCAGCCTTTTCACTAGTGCGAGCGTCATATGAATCAAGCAACAATTGCAGAGTTCCTGGCCAAGTTGGGCTTGGACATTGTTAGAAGAGCCTGAGCTCCATGTCGGAAATGTCCGATTGCAATGCCTTACTCCGCTACACTGTATTTCGACTTTATAAATTCTCGTAACAAGTGACAACTAGTTGTTGACCGGCTAAGTGGTCCTGAAATGCAGATCAAGCCAAGGTTTTCTTGGTCGGGTCTCTGTCCTAATGTTTAATTTCAGCTATACCTGGTGTGTCTAGCAGCTGAAGTCCGGACATTTTTACGACAGAACAGAACACAAAGTTAAATCTAAAAAATCGTTTAGCTGTAACACCCCTTCGGTACCCAGGCGCCATACCGCCCAAAGGAAGCACGCAAATCGAAAGTCCTAGTGTCATTATCGTGGCTTGAGGTGACCACAAGTTCTGACACTGAGCTAATGGCCAGATCAGTGGATACCCCAGTGCTGTTTTGGTTTGTTCCCTTTTAATTTTGAGGGCTGAACCTGACGCAAACACAGGCAAGTGGTGACCTTTTGCAACCTATCATTGTGCTATTAGAAAGGTCGTCCGTCTGTTGTTGAACGAGGAGCTGGATTCAGCCTCGGTAAAGACGCTTGTTGTGATGCCAACCAAGCGGCCGGTTGTAGTAACGGTATTTTCCTCAGCTTAGTTCTCGGTCTGAGCCTCCCAAGCTA